CCCTGTAGCAATATTTTGTGTGTAGTATGCGTAAAAATAAACACGATCGTACATATGTAAGTATTGGATACATATTTTATACAAACATATGCGTAATTGAGTAAAGCAATGTGAACTCGGCTACATAATTTCACAATTATTTGAAACGCCTCAATCGAAGAGAACGAAAATCCTGCCAAGCAACCTAATCAATTTGATGCCTGGCTTCGGTTATCAATGCCAAGAGGGCATCAAGTTTAAGATCTTTAAACCGTTCAAAGTGGTTCGTGAGCGGCTGAATCGCATCAGACTCGATGGCGGCCGAGATGGTCTGGTTTTGAATGGTGCGGTTGAGGCAGGATGCCACCTGTGCCAAAAACTCCCGCCATTTTTGTCTGTTCTCCTCGCTAAGAGTCGGGTCACTTCGGGAAACGTATATTTCTTCGGCACGAAGTATTAGGGCAACCAGCGATAGGATTCCAAACTGCAAATTTAATGGTTATTGAGTGAGTTTACTACTTGGTAATGCGGATAACATACGCGACTGCAGAAGATTCCAGTCAGTTTCTTGTCGTTCAGCGTAATGCCAGCTGAAATGCCCACTAGGATCTCAAAAGTGGCTTTGTTTATGTGCTTCTTGAACTCTGGGTAGAGTGCGTGTAAGACTCCCTCAACGTCGTCCTTGTCCTTTTTCACCACTGTCTGCAGGGAGCAGAAGACACCGCTCCACACGACCCAGCGAATGTTTTGATCCGCAATGAAGGGCATAATGCGGCGGAGGAGAATCTGTAAGTAAAGAAATTTTTAAGTTACAATTTAGTTATTAGTTTATTGGCCTGAAAATTTGTCAAGGAACAGGCACATTTCTTAGCTTTGTTGGGGATCAACCTAATTATAAACAAATACCGGTGCAAAATCGTATATAAATAGGTTGTAATAAAGTTTAAACCTTCTTGGCTTAGTTGACATTAATGAAGAATTGGCCATATGTAGAAAATTAGAGCCTTGCGCGAATCATTCAATTTTTGTTTTATCATAGTATGCCATGAAATTTCTGATTTGTTTAATTCAATTCTATGTGAAATAAATTGAATGTTTTTCTAATTCATTTCGAATTTAATAAATGAATAAATTAATAATTTTTATAATTTTTTTAAATTTGCCAGACTTTGTGCTTTCTTTTGAGAACAAAAAGTGGAACAATTTTAACAAATCAATGTTAACTGCTTAGAAAATAAAATTCAAGCAGATTTAATCACAAAATTATGGCCCTTTCTTCTTAAAAAGAAAATGTCGTTTGACTTATTTCGGAATTCATGCCATTCATTCATTCAATTCCATTAAACTAAAAATTCTAATTAATTCATTCATACAGGGCTCTAGTTGACATTTATATGTAGTAATTAACTTTATAATATAATAAACAAACTCACCTTTCCCTTGCGCACATTCATCATGGACACCACCTTGTCGAATGCCAGACCGGCTTTCAACTTATTGACCAGCGCAGCGTTCGTCTCCACCTCGTAGTTGAACTTGTTCTTCAGCTGCGGATTCATGGTCGCCGGATTGGCGGCTTCGGCGGCCCTCTCCTCGGGCGTCTTGTTGGCCATTTCCAGCTGCTCGAGGGCTGCGATGCGCTCGGCCTCCTTCTTCTTCTTCAGCTCTATGGTGGCCATCACCTCGGGGCTTTCCAAGTCCTCCAGCTTTAGTAGATAGCGGTACAGCGTCTCGATCAGCAGCAGAATGTGACGCGACTTGCGCATGCTGCTGGGATTAACTTCGTGGCTCGCCGAGGGAGGCAGCGGCGTGGAGCTCGTGGAGGAAGAAGTTGGATTGGCCTCTGCACCGGCACTCGATTCACCGCTCATAATGTCGGCATCGATGATTTTCCTGGGCGCCGTAACACTGCCGTACTGCAGCTTGCCCAGTGAGTTCTCGAACTTTAGCGGCGAGAATATATAGCCGGTCAGGTTGTTGTTGTTGCCGCCCACCATTGACCCATTGTTCGTGCTGCCCGCCGTGCTGCCGTTGGCGTTCTCCGAGTTGCGACGCTCGCGTCCGTGTCCATTGCGAGTGCCGTTCTTGTTGCCCAGCTGCACCAGAATGAGCTGCGCATGTCCGCGTGGCTGGGTGAGCGGATGATTGAGCTGGTTGTCCTTGTGCGCCTGACTGTTGCGCATCTGACCGTTCTGCTGGGCCTTGCGCTCCCTGAACACCGTGTAGTAGTAGTCGTCGATGTACGGCGTGTCGGTGTTCAGCTGCGACAGCTGTATGCCGATTAGCCAATGCTTGTCGCGCGTGCTCATCAGGTTGGCGTACTCATCGTACTCCTCCAGCGGATAGTTTCCTGTGCCATCCGGACGCCGTCCCATTTGCTGCTGCTGCTGTTGCTGCATCTGCGTCTTCTGGCGATCACTGGCCACCGATCCTGCCCTGCTCTGCATCATCTGGCGCACCACGGCCGCCTGCTGGAGCAGCGGATGGTTCTGCTGTATTTCCTGCACCAGCCGAATGTTAAACATGTTGTACATGGAGTTCGGTGGCTGCTGGCCCAGCAGACTGCTGGCCGCCTGCAGCGGGTGCGGCGGCATTCGCGGCGGCTGCATCTGGTGCGGATGGGGCGGCTGCATAAATGCCGCCGGATGCATGCCAGCCGCGCGCATCGCATTGAAGCTCGGGTGCATGGCAAAGTTGTTCAGGGCCGTGGGCAGGGCGTGCGGATTGGGTAGTGGTCGCTGGCTGCCGCCGGGCAGTGGAAAGTTCGGCGGCATGTGCTGCGGCATGAGCGGATGCGGCATATTACCGGGCAGACCGGGCGGGTAAATAAACCCGGGCGGCACTCGGTTGCCGCCAGCCATGCCGTTGAGTTGTTGCTGCGACGGCGGCGTGGGCAGTAGCTCGGGCAGTGGATGGGGACCGGGAAAGCCCAAATTTGGCCTGGGTGGAGAGGTCTGCGGCGTTCCCATGAAGCCAGGGGGTGCTAAAAATAGTGGTTAAACAGTGTTAGTTTTATAAGTGTGCTTCCAAACTTATTATCTTATTATGGAGCATTTTTTTTAAGTCCTTGAGATACTCGACTTCAAAATAATGCCATCCGTTTTACCAATTTCTTTAACTCAATTTAACTGTTGACTTTTAATTTAATCTCAGACCTGCCTAGGGTATTTTAAGTACTTTACTTGATAATTTCTATTGTATTATTAAGTTTGTCACATAGATATTGCTTCTTATAATAAAATTCAAGACCATTTTCCTAAGACAGTTGATAGAAAAGAAGCGCGTCTCAATTTAAATCGAAAATTAAAGAATTGATGCTAGATCAAAATTAGTTGCAAACTTATAATCGAATTAGGTAGTTCTTTTGAATTAAATTATTACTATTTCTGTTACTCAATCCGATGTGACTAGCGCAATAAATATAAGTTTTTAATAAATAAATAAATAAATAAATAAAAATTGATTATATGCTCACCCTTGTGCTGCGCTTGCTGAGGCGGCTGCTGCTGCTGCGACTGTTGTTTCTGCTGCTGCAGTTGATGTTGCAGCTGTTGCTGTTGCAACATGGTTGGTGTGGCAACCTGCTGCCTGTTGCCCAGGCTGAAGTCATCGAACATCTTGCGCTCCGCCTGCTGTTGGATTTGCTGCTGCTGATTCTGCTGCTGCTGCTGTTTGGGCATGGACTGCTGGATGATCATATTGCGTTCTATGTCCTCGAGGGTGGTGATCTTGGGGAAACCCTGTGGCGGCAGTGGAAAGTTGGCATTCGCCTCCGCCGGTGGCTTCATCTGTGGCTGCAGCTGCTGTTGCTGTTGCGGCTGCGGCTTGAAGGCGCTGCGCATGGGCTCCCGGAACAAGTGCTGGTTATTTGGGAACGGCTGCGAGCCCCAGACGCCCGAGTCCAGGTTTATTCGATTGCTCAGGCCGCCGGCTTCGCTGTCGCCGCCAAACGTGGACAGATCCATGTCGTCCAGCTTCATCGAGGAGAGGTTGAGCTCCAGATCCGAGTCGCCGACGTGCCGCGACTGCCGGAAGGGCGCATTGAAGGGGGCCGGAGTGGAGCCGCTGGACGAGGGCGCCGAGGAGAGCGGATTGCCGTGGCGCAGGAAGGCGCCGTTGCCGTGATCGCCGCCGAAATCCGCACTACCGCTCCCCGATTCCGCTGGCCGCTTGCGCACCCTTTCACCATTCCCGCCCAGCCGCACCATCGTCTCGTGGGCCTCCTCCCAGTCGCCATTTATCGCCGATCCGAAGGTCTCGTCATTGAGGGCATCGTACTCCGCCTCGGCGATGCGTCCGTCGCCACCTTCATCGTCCTGGGAACACAAGAAAAGGCAGTTTGCATTAGACATCCCAACGTTTCGCTGCCCCCGGTGGCCTTCGATGCCCCCTTCTGTGCCCGTTTGCCGAGTGAAAAGTTTAAGTGTGCGTCGCGCATCCGGCGCTCCCAGAGCAGCCCCGCTTTCCCCCGTTTCGAACGGCCCAGCACCACGATCACTGCTTACCGGTAGGTTTGTGTCAAAGCCGAAAAACGAGTCGTCCATGGCGTTAAAGATAAATCTATTGCTTTACAAAAAATTATCATGACTTGTCAGTGACAAGTTGTCACCTCACAGTGTGCCCAGCGCGGCGTGGGTGGTTGGCTGTGCGAGTATCGATAGGTGGTATCGATAGTTACTGTGTAACGTGTATCGGCGGGATTTGTGGGGTGAAGTGATAAACAAATAACCTTTACTGTAACCTCATGATTAATAGCTAGTTTAATTAAACAAAGTGTATTTTTATTAATTAATTAATAGTACTTAAATTAAATTTCTTGAACACTGTACATCGTATGACATTGGAACGACCGGGTAATTTTTCTTAATTTAATTTCGATTTATTTATAAAGCAAATATGATAAAGATAATCCTATTTTAACTTATATTACCCATTTAATTACTTCTTAATACCATATCAACGCAACCGATACTTGGAACCAGTTCCGAAATTCAAAATGGAACCAGCTGCCGCCAGCGCATCTCTAAACCACTGGTTCTTAAGATATCGCGGAGGACGCAACGCCGAATCTGTTTTTCATTTCCCCAAGTTAAAAGCGGCAAAATGAAGCGCAAGACGAGCGAGATTTGGTGCTTCTTCCGGGCGGTGGACGACACATATGCGCTGTGCAACATCTGCAAGGCGAAGCTCTCCTACAAAACGACCACCACCAATCTGAGCAAGCACATGAACAGGATGCATCCCACATCGGGACTCAACCGGAGCTCCAACTACAAATATCAGGCCAAGAGCAGTAGCATCATGGACCGGAACAAGGGCAAGCCGCGCAACCAGACGCAGGAGGTGATAATGCTGGAGTTCGTGAAGAAGCATCCGCGGATGCTGCAGAATCCGACGTGGGAGACGCGCAGCAATCTGGAGTCGCTGTGGGAGGAGCTGACCTCGGACCTCAATCGCCACGGGCCGCCGCGAAAGGATGTGGCCACCTGGAAGAGGGTGGGTTAACTTAAACATAATCCCTCCTTAAACACTTATTAATAATCTTGTTAATCCCCAGGCCCTGAAGGACTGGAAGCGGTTCATCCTGAAGAAGGTGGAGAAGAATGAGCTGCACAACGTTCCCTTCGGCACCAGCCTCAGTTCCTCGGAGGAAACCATCGCCACCTTGTGCCGCCTCAACGAGGACGTTAGTCAGATAATCATGAAGGTCTCCGACGACGAGGAAATGCACGAGAATTCCACCACCGAGTTCGACGTGGACGATGTGGAGGACGTGGTGCCGGAAGAGGACAGCGGCGCCCTTCAGACCTCCGCCGAGTACATTTACGAGCCGGAGGAGAGCAAAGCGGACATCGACCCCCTTTACCTGCAGTCCAGCAAGCGGGCCGCCTTGGCCGGCAGTCGAATGGCGGAGGAGGAGGCGACGACGACGACGACGCTGCTGCTGGATAAGATTAGCAATAACATTGGCATGGTCCACGATGCCGCCAATAGCGCCCATCTCGCTCTCAACGAGTTCTTCGTCCTGTACAAGCAGAAACTGTACGAGGACAAGCGCCATCATCTGGCAATCGAACAACTGATGGCCGAGAAAATCGAATTGAAAAAGAAACTCTTGGAGATCGAGCAGCGAAAGTTGTCGCTAAAGTAATAAAACAGTAGTCTTAATAAGCATAAAATAAACTAAGTATTCCATTAAAATGTTGCCTAATTCTATCGCTCTTCAACTTGCCTGCAACCAAGACAACTTAATATACACATTTCAATGTCATTTTCAGGTTTTATTTCTGTGACACTTAGCTGATTTGTAATTGTTCGTCATAGACTTCCTTTAATATTTCTTTAAATTCCAGCGGATATGAGGCGTCATTGATAACAGCATCGTAAACATATTCTGCATCCTGCGGGATAAATAGAATGTTGAATTACAATACAATACAATACAATATTTCTTACCGATTTTGGTTCTTCTGAAGTGCAGGATGCAGAATCACTCAGCCCGTTCAAATCCCCGCAAGCAATGAAAGGAACTAGCCGTCGGTTAACATCAGATCCTGTTTTCTGTGCCAGCAGACGAATATCATCTCGAGCTGGGTTGATCACTTGCGGAATGTAACCGGCGGGCAGGCAGAAATCGGAGCAAACGACAAATGCTTCAATGCTTGAGGGCCGCGAACTTGGCGGCTTGTAGATGTCGAACTTCTTGAAGAATATCTGCATTTGGGAGCTCAGAAGCCAGGTGGCGTTTCCTTTGAAGATCTTGGCCACGAAGGTTCCCCCATTTTCCAGCACACAGGTGGCAATGCTGAGTGCAGCGACCAGCAACTGGTGCTGCATGTACTCGTCCATTTCGTGGACACCGGTAACATCGGGTGCTCCGTCGCAGACCACCAGCTGCGCCTTCTCATCGCCGCCAAAGTGACCGATGATGGCCTCGGCGGTCGACTGCTTGGTGATGTCTCCCTGCAGCTGGATGATTCCCCGAATTGGAGCCATCGCCTGCAGATCCACTGCTATGATCTTAACGGCGGCCTTTTCGTCGTCCGTCTGGCAGGGATCGTACAGCTTCCGGGAGAGAACCTGCGACCAGCTTCCAGGAGCAGCACACAGATCCACGGCCCGCTGGACTCCTGGTTAAAAAGGGTTAAATTTATGGGTGAGAATCAGAAATCCTGTAACACCTACCATTCAGAATTCCATAGGCCTCGTCCACGTGGAGCAGCTTGAAGGCACTCCTGGCCCTCCAGCCCTCCTCCTTGGCCTGTCGGTAGTATATATCACGTTTATCCTTTGACGTTTTTCCCATTTTTATCTATTTTACGCCTGGACGAGGGTATTTCCCATGCTGGGATGAATTATTAGGGATGATCTGTGGTGGAACTGGTTCATTAGAATAACGTGATTTAGGGTATTCTCTGTTCATTGGTACATTTTCGATTTTTTTGAATTCTAATTTTTATTTTTTTTACTAGTAAATCTCATATTTTAAAATTCGGAAATAACTTTTGAATAATAATGTAATATTTGTAAAAATTATTATTTAAAATATGTATCTTTTGTATTTAAATTGTACGAGTTTTGACATTTAATAGTACCGATTCTGTTTTCAATCTCATCTTTATAAAATAATTTATTTAATCTCAATAATTATAAAACCAAGACAAGAGAGAACGCTATAGTCGGGCTCGTGTCCCGACTATCTAATACCCGTCACTCGGCTAAAGGGAGTGCGAGGGAGATGGATATATATTTTTGGATTGCGTATAACTTTTTAATGAATGGTCCGATTTGAAAAATGTCTTCTACATTTCGATAGGTATAAATATACACAACAAAATTGCATTTATACTTCTCGGAAATCTTTAAAGGTGTGGGCGCCAGGCACATTTCAAAATCGTTAGTGGGCGATTGTGGGCGTTAGAGGGGGCGTGGCGCTCGTCTGAAATAAACTTGCGCTGCGTAGGAAGCCCAAGAATATGTGTGGAAAATCTCAACCTTCTAGCTTTTGTAGTTTCTGAGATCTCAGCGTTCATACGGACAGACAGACAGACAGACAGACGGACAGACGGACATGGCTAGATCGACTCGGCTAGTGACCCTGATCAAGAATATATATACTTTATGGGGTCGGAAACGCTTCCTTCTAGCTGTTACATACTTTTGCACGAATACAATATACCCTTTTACTCTACGAGTAACGGGTATAATAAAATAAAAATATTTTCTAAAGAGTATCTCTGGTACCACCAAAAAAATGCGACGTAAAAAGGCGCACAAAATATGGCCGGATTTTAGTAGGTACGCAATGCGGTCACATTCTTAGCGCCAGAGCTTTAAAAACACGCATTGCGAGGTTTTTTCCAAATTAATTGCAAAATATGCATAGAATTCCATTGCCCGTGGTTCCGGACCCTTGCCCCGAGGCCTCGGAATGTGAGACCATGTCAAGGGTCATGTGTCCGCGCAACCTGATGTGAGTAACAACGCCTTACGGTCCATGACCACGCAGGTTTCCCAGTATTGCGAAATTCTAGTTATCCTGCCGCGAGGTCCTCTCCGTTTTCAACAATATCTCAACTAATATATGCATTTTTCACGATTCCAGAGAATGCGAGCTGTTCTTGAAGGTTTTGCAAAAGGAAACCGATGCAGTTTTTCTCGGCTTTTCCGAAAGTGCTCAAGGTTCTCTCAACATTTCCAAGGAGTGTATGCGAATGAAGAGTCCCACGGTGTTGAAGAAGGTAATTGCCTTCGATTTCTAATGATAATCCGTACTTTAATCCATTTATTCAGACCTTACAGAGTCTGAACGAGATCATAAGCCGCGCACCCAGCGGCACCGCCACATTCGTGGACGCGATTTTGGCCCGAAGTGTGCTCTACATGAAAAGTAACCAGCATGCGGTAGGTGATCTGAAAACCCCTCCGATGAGCTATATTAATAACCCCATTTTCGTTATTAGATCGCCTGCAGGGACTTGTTGTACTATGAGTCTTTGGATCCGTCTCTCAAGACAACCGAGGGAACTATCGTCTCACAGATCCTCCTTTGCATATGCCTCTATATGAACCGGGAGTATCAAGCATCGAAGGACAAGTGGACTGTCTTAAAAGACCTCATTGGTATTATTTATAAAGATATTTTATTGTATTGTAAAATACAGCATTTTGTGTATTTCAGAAGAAACGCCGTTGTCTGAAAAAAGTGGTAGGTATACACTTTCCCTATTATTGATAAAGGCTTTTACCGGTGTTATTTTATGATATATCCTAGAAATCGGGCAGTTCCTTAGTTTAATGCAACAATATGAGGAGAGAATCAACCAAGACAGGAGGAATGTTGAGGTAACCAAGAAAGTTCAAAGCCAAATCTTACCATTTAAGGGTTTTAAGATGACCCGCAAAATACCATTTGCCAGCCAGGCCTGTGAATATTTGTAAGTGTATAAAGTTTACTAAACGCGCAATTAATGTACATGTTATTCTACAGAGAAAAATCCAATGAGAAACATGCCGGCGTCTATGCCTCATGCGACATTCCCAAAGGAGAAATAGTTATGGTGGAAAATCCTGAGCTATTTCAGTTCAGTGCTCCGTTCCTGAACTGCGATCTGTGTGGATTGCACCAGGAACAGCTCTTCACCTGTGATACCTGTCGTTATAAGACATATTGCTCAAAGCTGTGCATGGAATCCGATGCGGAAGTCCATCAATTTGAGTGCTACGGATATAAAATTGGCCTGATACCAATGCTAGAGGCTTCGATGCTGTTTCGCTTGTTTCTGCAATCAGGAGAATATATACTTCCGGCTTTAGTTGACTTTGCGATGGAAGGCGGGTATGTAGAGTGTGAATTATTTAAGTTTACATATAATCACGGTTTTCTTTCCCCCAAAAACAGAGTAGTTAATCATCCCCGTGACGCCTGGATGTTTATACTAGAGCATGCCCAGGAAGAGGATAAGGAATACAGTTCCATTGGAGAATTCCTTGCCACAGCGCCGGATTATAAACTGCTTACCAGGGGGCAGTATCAGGAAATCGTTACCACAGCATTCCGATTGTCGGTGTTTATCTACAACGACCATGACCTCGCAGATAAATACTTTTATTTGCTCGCTCTCCAGAAATCCGACGTTATTAATGTGATGGCGGCGATACTTTTACGGTTGGGAGCACACGTTCTGTTGAATTCCCAGCGAGATGAGCTGCACTATCCGAAACCCGGAGAGGGCATGAATGAAACTCATGAAGAGTTCGCCAAGTGCGCTGCACTTCCAGCGCCAATTGACCGCATAAGCGCAAATGCATTTAGTTACTATGGAGTGAACGCGATATCTGATTTTGTAGACTGCTACAATGACGTTCACGACAACCTAGATGACGTTGACAATGAGTTGCAGGAAAAGACTTCTAAAGATAGTCCAATATTTCTGTTTGCTGAAAGGCTACATTCGATATGCATTCAAAAATATGAAATTGATACTGTTGAAGATCTCACAAGTGCGGAAACCTTGCCCAAAAATCAAGTGGACGAAATTTTTGAAATCTTTAACACATCCAAACGTTGCCAGTTGCTGACCGGTGTTGCCAAATTTTTTCATCAATTCATTTATCAATATTTTAACAAAATTGAAAACACCTTCCAAGTAAAATCAACGTTTTGTGCCACCTTGAAAGCTTTTAGGCAGAATTGTGCGACCGAAAATGTTAAAATCATGTAAGTACATTGCTGTGAGCTGAAGTTCAACCCATTAAAATATCTCATTTCTTCAGATCTCTACCGAGTGGAAAACGTGTTGGAGTTTCCACTAAAAATGTCGTTGACGGCGATGAATTAGTGGTATGCCCCGATTTTCAAGGTCATCGAGATCAAAACCTATTTTTGGAGCTAGCACAATGCAAAGATTTTAATTTTTCGTCAAAAGCTAGCCATGGAAAATCAAGTGTACGTAATAGATTCTTTTTTTTTTAAATCGTCTACTAAACCTTTATTTAATTATGACTTTCAGTTCGAGAAGAAGCCTTCTCCAGAGTTTGTACGACATAACGAAGCATTCATATTCGCTATTAACAACAAATTTGCTGCTTGGAAGCAGTCTAGACAAGGTTTGTTTGATATTAGTTATTTTTGAATTTTTGTTTAATAATGGAATTTGATTTAATATTTCAGATGCAAAACTCCAACTTGATTTGTCCATCCTATACGGCACCTACAATAGTTTTCTTGCCCTGCATTGCGCAGAAAAAGACGATATTCGTTTGCTGGGCGTTCTTAAATTCTCCATGTTCTTAGCCATGAATGGTTTGTATTTCCTAAATTCATAGGGTTCCGATTGTACTTATTTATTAATTTATTTAACACAGGCTTCTTGCAACATGCCAGTGATAATATTTTTAACTTAGTTGAGTTAATTGAGTTGGATGACATATACTTTAAAGACGTCCAAATCTACCATCGAGTCTTTGATGTAATCAAGCATATTATGGAACAATACATTGACATCATGTGAGCTTAAAATGTCTTATATTGACGGTGATTGTTAATGACTGATTATCTTTTGCAGGATCGATTATGCGGATGTCGGCCCGGAATATCCCAAAATGGTTCTTGTGAACTGTTCATTGATATTAAAAAGACTGCAGCTTCATACCGAAGCTTTAATCGATAACGAAGACGCGTCAGCTTTATACATGGAATATAGTACCTTTCATTACAAATGGAAGACAATAATTAACTCCTATCTTCAAATGCCACCAGGTCTGAGGGCCTTTTTAGTAGAGTCAAAAAAGTGAGTTCAAATTAGCTGCTGTCCTCATAGAAATGGATTTTAAGTTAACGTCCTATAAGCGTTGTGTATAATACATCCTGTAAATTCTCCCAAACGGATTCAAACGAATGAACCATGTTTTTTGTTATTTAAATACAATTAAAGACACATTCCAGTTAATTTATTTTTATGTTAAAGAAAGCCAAACATTTAAGTTAATCGTATGATATTTATAAGTTTCGTAAATAAGTTTGTTTGATTTATTCTAACAAAAAAAAAAAAAAGAAAAAGAAATGAGTCAGAACTCTGTACTTAATGCACTTCTTAATGACTTAGCCTTATCTGTTCTTATTATTCTTGCTGCTGGCAAAAATACAACTACCAACACTTTTATCTTCATCTTGACCATTGTACTTTTTTCGAACCGTAAACACGTTCCGGTCGACATGAAATTGTTTTTGAAATTTGCCCACAGTTAAGCTTCTGAATATTGGAAATTATGCTCGCATATTTCTGCACGTTCTTCAATCTTGCCAATCTTACCAAGAATTTCGCGTTGCATTATCACGTCTCTGGAGCGCGTAGATCGTGCGGGCCAGCAGCTGGCGGAGATCTATAAATGGGCGCCCAGTTGCTGGTGCTGCATTGAGTTTTGTGGTGTCGTCGGTGCTATGAGAGTGTTTCTGGTGCTGTTGAGCTTGCTGGCGGTGGCGGTGGCCACCAAGTGTCCGTTTTCGTCGATGGAACCTCTGGCCAGGTCCAAACGGGGTGCCTTTGACGTTCGTCCGGCGGTCAGTGACGGAAGTTTGGATGCCCTGATCAAGGACTTTATGCCCAAGTACAATTCCAACAATGTGCACACCAGTTGGGCAGAGCCTTCTGGTCCTCAACAAACTTTAAGGTGTGGCGTTGCGCCCCGCAACTGCCTGAATGATACTAGAAATCTCCAGTACCGGAGTTTGGATGGTTCCTGCAATAACCTGCTGTATCCGGAGTTTGGAATCGCTGTTTCGCGGTATCGCAGGCTACTGCCTCCTCGGCAGGTGGAACAGGCTCCGAATGCCCGACTGATCTCTCTGTCACTGTACGGCGAGCAGACGAGGAACGACAGGTTCCGCACCATGGCGGCCATGCAATGGGGACAGTTTGTGGCCCACGACATCAGCCAATTGAGCCTGCGGGGCGCACCGCTGGATTGCTGTGCTGAGCCACGTCATCCCCGCTGTCTGCCGATTAGCCTGCCACGTGGAGGACCCATTGCCTATAATACTGGAAGGACCTGCCTGCACTTTGCCCGCAGTACCTCTGAAGCGGATGCCATTTGCCCGAAGAATGGTGCACCCTATCCCGAGAAGCTGACGGTGGCCACAGCCTACCTGGATCTGTCATCGGTCTATGGCAACAACCCGTCACAAAACAGCAAGGTACGTCTGTTCAAGGGCGGTCTTCTAAGGACAACCTACTCCAATGGTCAGCACTGGCTGCCGGTGAGCCAGAATGAGGGAGGCGAGTGCGGCACCAGGAGCGAGTGCTACACAGTGCCCGATAAGCGCAATCAATTCCACGCCACCATCACCCTGCTGCAGACTCTGCTCGTTCGAGAGCACAATCGCCTGGCCGAGAACCTGGCGCTGATCAATCCCGATCACAGTGACGAGCGCCTCTTCCAGGAGGCTCGCAAGATCAACATCGCCCAGTTCCAGAAGATCACCTACTACGACTGGCTGCCGCTGTTCGTGGGTCGCACCTATACCTACCTGAACGGCCTCATCTATCCCGTGGAGCCCACTGAGTACGTGAACGACTACGATGAGACGGTCAATCCTGCTGCCTATGCTGAGTTCTCGGCCGCTGCCTTCCGCTACGCCCACACCCAGATACCCGGCTGGTTCTCGTAAGTACTCGAATTAAGACTTCAATAGACCTTGGATTTTGCATATTTGTCCATTTTTGATCCGATTTTTACCAAAATTTTTAGGTATGTGTCATATTCTTCAAATGTGAAATATGAAAAAATATATGCAAAAAATATATTCAAAAAATATATGCATAAAATATGCAAAATATATGCAGAAAATATGCAAAATATATGCGAGCAACTGAGGGCTAAAATTTTTAATGCAGCCCTCTGGTATTCTAAGGAACCTTTAGTAAACACGGCGAGCAATTTAAACGAGCAGTTTGGCCGATAGGGCCAAAAACTATTCTGCCCCTCTTACTATTTTTGCCCCCTTCTCGTTTACTCGTTGAAACTAAAAATAGGGTTTCATTAAATTTGGAAAAAAATTAGATATCTCAGAAATGACGAAAAGTAACAAACAATTTTATTCGATTGGCTATGAAATGGTCATTCTTGATAGTTGAGTTTATTTTATATTTTGCAAATTTTGCATATATTTTGCATATTTTATGCACATGCATTTTATGCAATTATGCAAAAAAAAAATAAATATGCCATTAATTTTAAACTATATTTTTATTGAAACGAACTTTGGCATTTTCAAAATTGATCTATCTTTATCCTATAAAAATATGCAAAATTCGAGGTCTGGACATCCTAGTTTCCGTACTTAATAGTTAATGAACTTCTCTATAGGTTGGTTGCCCCCAACCGCAGCTCTAATCAAACGCTGCGCCTGAGTGACTACCTCGGTCGTTCAGAGACCATGCGTTTGCTGCATACAGGCGATAACTTTGACGCTTTGCTGAGAGGCTTGGCCACTCAGCTGCACAAGCAATCGGATGGAAACATCGATCCGGAGATCAAGCACTACTTTATCCGCAAGGAGTTCGAGGAGTACGGCTCGGATCTAAAGTCTATTGATATTCAGAGGGCTCGAGACTTCGGACTAGCCTCCTACAACGATGTGCGAGAGTTTTGCGGACTGCGAAGAGCTGTAAATTGGGCCGATTTCGCTCACGAGATTCCGGGAGAGGTAGTTTACCTAAATAGTTTTTTGTAACTCAGAGCACTGTAATTTATAATCCTGTAGAAAATATCACTGTTGCGTCGATTGTACGCCACTCCAGATGATGTGGAGCTGGGTGTAGGTGGCACCCTGGAGTACCATGTCCCCGATGCTCTCTTCGGACCAACTCTGTTGTGCGTCATTGGAAAACAGTTCCTGAACACAAGACGCGGCGATAGATTCTTTTTCGAACGGGAGAACGCAGGAGGATTTTCACGCGGTAAGTGGGGTTTTGTTCTTATGGCAACAGCATTTTTCAATTCTTGTTCCACAGCTCAACTGGCGGAGATCCGTAAAGTGAGTCTGGCCAGCTTGTTCTGCAACAACGCCAACTATCTGCACTTAATTCAGCCAAATGTATTTGTTTTCCCGAACTCACAGTAAGTCCATAAATACTTAAATCTAATAAACCCTCATATATAATGTCTTTATCCATAGTAACCTACTACTCAACTGCAATTTTATCCCACAAATCGATCTTAGCAAGTGGCAGGACCTCAGGCCCCAACTTGTACACTAGTTTATCCATAGTAACCTACTACTCAACTGCAATTTTATCCCGCAAATCGATCTTAGCAAGTGGCAGGACCTCAGGCCCCAACTTGTACACTAGTTTTAAAACTAGTTAATGTATCTAAAACAAATTAGCCTGTCCAATTTGTTCTTTCAGATGCAAACAATTTTATTTATCACACGGTCTATCATAATTTTTTGCATTATCTTTTTTACACAATCAAAGAACGAAGTGTATTTTGTTTTGGAAATTGTGATTTTCTGTTAAAAATATAATATATAATATAAGTTCCATGGGAATAAAAAGGATTGTTTTAAATAGATCTTAGACATTTCTTTTTTCTTTGATTTTAATTAGCTCATAATAATTCGTTGAGCGAATTAATTATTATCTGGTGTGACACAGAAATCTCTTAGAATTCAACTGTAATTTCGGCCTGATAGATTTCTGTGAAGAAAATAATCATTACTAGTATCATGACGCAGCAATTTTTTCTGTCGAATTCCAAACTAAAATTCATTTTGCACAAAATAAAATGACAATTTTTTCTTGTTAATTTCAATTTATTTGTTTACGATTTTACAAATTTCTTGTAATAAAAAAACAGAAACTTTAAATTCAAGATTATTCAATTATCTGCTATATTCGTGTTCATTTTTGCAAACATGTTGATATTTAAATAAATATATCACAGCGCTAAAATTAAAAAGTCCCAAATATCCTGAAACCAAATTTGTCCTCTTCAGAACTCCTCAGTTAGCAAAACGCAGTAGTGTAATGCAACAAAAAAGGGTTTTATTTTCTATACATTTCGAAATAGGCAAGTCTAGGTTTATAAAGTCCTCTGTTGGCAGTGAAAACTCCTTATGCTTTGGTGGTGGTGGTGGCGGTGGTGATCCATGGGCAAAGTGGAGATCGCAGCATGCAGGCGATCAAGAGGAAAGTGGCCTCAGTTGCAGGAGCGCTGAACAACATGAGCATGGCAACCACCAAAATGGCCATCAGGAAAGTGGAAGACTGCATGGTGATTTAGATAGTGTGTTACTCTGCTGGATCCAGAATTACCTTTCGAACCGAACGGGCTGCTATTTATACGCGGTTCTATGCTCGCTTACAATACCTGCAAACTAAATAGCTTTTCTTTACACAGCCCGAGCGAGTTTGCTTAAATGCTACTGCGAATATTCATTAATGTTTGCCCAATGATTATACTTGTGTACATATATGTACCTGTGACAATATTTTTTACTTATAAATTGCCACATATTTGTCAATTATAATTATTACAACATCCCCTAGACTGTTAAACAAATATTGAACTATATTAGGTTGTCCGGCTCGTTGAGTCGTTCAGTTGCACTTGCAATCTATTCATTAAAATCAGTTAGATCATTTAACATTCATCATGGTAATTTTATTTAATTTCACTATATACAAATCTACTAAGAGGTATTTTAAGTTTATATTGGAAAATAAATTACAAATGTTTGGTTATCCAATCAACATACATTGAAGTTTTCGTGTAATATGATGGCTTGTTCTTGCCAGATTTGTAACCATAGGAGATGATGCCGGCTAGATACATGACCTCTTGCCTCCCTCGTTTCATGGTGGCCATTAAGGGACCACCGGAATCCCCTTCAGCAATGTCATTCAGGACACCCCGTGCACATATTTGTGTCTTGAATTGGAATATCGGGGACTTACACTTCAAGTCAGATGGATGCAGTTCCTTAATGATGCTGCGCATCAATACTGGACTGTTGTTTCCCCAGCCGGCTGCCTTAAATATTCGGTTGTGCTGTTGTGATGTTTCAATGCTCAAGTCCGGAAGACAAATCGGTTTTATTGCAGCGGAATAACTAAAAAAGATGGAAAAGAGGTGAATTCAAAATCAAATCGATATAAACCATTTTACAAAGATATGCTTTAGAAATTTCTAAAATTATTAAAATTTTAATAGTATCAATTGATTGTCTCCATTACTCACACCACAGGTTCTTGGAGTAGCAGCAGGGCGATGTCGTTTCGATATGCACTTCCATGGAAGAATTCCTCATGTACAATAGCCCCAGCCACGTTGATCTCAACATAACGGGGAGCGTAATACCATCTACCATTCACATAGCTTTTGTCGGGATCGATTTCGGTGTTATGTTCGCCCAGGCGCACTCTGTGGGGTGAGCCGATATCAGGATTTCCAGGATCTCTGACACAGTGGGCTGTGGTCAGGACGTACCAGTTGTTTATCAGGGAGCCCCCACATTTGGGTTTCATTTCTTTAGTGTATCTATTCCAATACAGAAGCATCGCCATCCAGGGAAACTCATTCAGTCCCGCTTTTCTGCCGTTCGATGGTCGACTTATTTTTCCACAGGTTTGCTTTGGTAGGACATTTTTTTGTGGAACATTTTGCCAATTCCAAGCTTGAATAGGATTCAAAATGTAATAATTCACAATTATAGATTTTTCACTTCAAACTCCTACAATTTACCATCTGAATAGGTCAAAAGAAAAGCCAGCAGCAGGAGCAAAATGTACGCTTTGATTCCGAGGAACATGTTGATCCGGGAAGTTTTGAAATAAAACTGTTTGTTGTACAGTTATTGTCACAGCTATTTATTTCATTATTAAGAATTGAGTAATTTCTGAGTAATTATTATTGAGTAAGTCCGAAATTACTTTAAAAATTGCTCATCATCAACAAAATTTTATACATAAATAACATAAGTTCTTACACAGCAAATAGTATTATCTATCCGTATTGATAATAATAGCAAATTCAACACGATATCTGTGCCTAAAATCGCACTTGCCCAAAAGAGAAACACATACGAAAGTCGTTTAAAGAGGAACTTACAAGTCTTTCAATTATATTTTATGTGGCTTTTTATGGTTTGTTTCTCGGCACACGCACATGATTGGCTTCGATTGTAACTAAATCCGTTGATTGCCTGATTTCGACCTTGAAGTGAAACTCGGTCCATATTTATGTGTTTATTATCCGACACGAGGGAAACATTTCGTTGCATACTTTCTGGCGGGGCGGCCAATGAAATTGCGGAACCGGAAACAACTAACGGGGCGCTAGTGTTTGTTTAATTCCGTTTCTGTCTCATTTTATGGATGGATTTTATATGACCGATTCTATATGGCCAAAAGTGTTTATGCTCTGCGGCCGGCGGAAGGACATCAAACACTGTTTTTGTTGACAATGTCTGACGTAAACAGGACACTTTCCCAAATTGTTTACGAGTGGAATTGATAAGGCTGTGTAACCGATTAGGAGGACGCTCGAAAGTCAATCAGAATCACTCAAATGACCCGTATCCAATACGCAAAAATGATGACGACATGTCATATGGTACTTATACTATATACAAATATATATCGCCGTAGCCCATGGGACTGCATAAATTTCGATTCGGCATCGCTGAGTTATCGCCATCATTCGCACAATAAATGACAATATTTTGCAGCAGCAAGGGCATTTCAAGTTGTGCCCCAATAATCTGCTGCCGCCATGGCAACGATTTATCTTTATATCCGAGTGTTTCGCTTTGATTTCGCTCGTAAATTGGCCGGGTCAGCTGGCGATTTAAGGTTGAAAATATCAGTTTGCCGGAATCTTTAAGAACCATTTAGCAGCCACACGCCAAAGCCAAGGTCGCCCAATCGACTTGTCTGGGCCGACCAACTATTAATGCATTGTACGAGCGGCCAATTGAGACAAGATAATGAACATCGGGCCGAATCAAGTAGACGGCCAACTTCTGGAACTGTAACAGCTGCAGGCGTCCAAATTGGCCATCCGACAGGAGTCGGTTACCAATGCAAGCCATCTCATTTGGCCTTTGTCTATGCCCCTGTGTGCCATAAAGTTTGCCCACGCCGCAGCACTTACCAGCAAAAGTCGACACTTGAGGAAAAAGATGGGACGGTTTGCCCTTAAAGTCGCTCATATTAATATGAATGTAAAATAAATTTCTTTTAATTTAAATTTTTTCAAGTTTTTAGTGGACACTAACCACATTGTCGCAAATATTTTTAACATTTTGAATATTTGTATAAATACCCAGATAATACTTAAGAATAGGAATTAGAAAAATGGTTGTAAAATTTCTCAATATTTATTCATTTTATTTTTGAAAGTTTTTCGCAAAAGAAGATTTTTTAAAACTCTTATTTCACATATATTTTTTCAAGTGCATGAATAGTTGGCCCTGGGCCAGGCAAACTTATTTGCCTCTTCAAACGGCAAAGGGGCGCAAAGCAAGCCATTTGTAATCAAAATAAAAGCAAGTTTAAATTAAACGCTTTGCTATTTAAATTCTCTTGAATTTATACGTACAGCTTTGTTTAAGGCTTATTCACAAACGATTTCACTTTAGATTTATTAAAAGCCGTTAAACTAATTTCTGTAGATTTTTTTAATAAAAAATGTTATATTTTTGTCATTAACATTTATGTCACCCAGACAAACAGAGAAGAAAAGCGACATGCCTAAATAATTCGGATCGTGATTTCCATTCATATGCACTCACATGCTGGTTGGTCAATAAAAAATAATTGCCTATCCCCAGAAACACCATAAAATCCTGGTGTCAGTGGACAGAAAAAAAATAAAGTGAGAGGACAGGATTGTCAGTCTCACGTTCAAGTGTTTACTTTGGTTATCTTACATCTGAAATGGCAGTCGTATGGCATATTTCCCAATTTGCTGCAGACACACTTTTATGACCACCAAACCTGTTGAAGCGCACTCTGATGGCTTAAGAATAAAGTAAATTAATTGGCGACCTGGCGAAATTACTTCATTAGCTCCTAATTGAATTGGCTGTCTCCTGAATGGTGCTAAGGGAAATCAGCCGGAATTTCACCAACCCAGTGGGCTCTCGACATGATTAATATTGCATTTTGTCAGTGGCGAGACAAAAAACAGCCCAGTCACAGACCTTGGGGCAAATGCGAAAGACAAAACGAAGGACCTGAAAAGGCAGGACGTACCCTCGTTTATGTTGTATGAATAGAGTCTGCTTTTCCGGTCCGGCTCCTCCGCCCCGGCCATTAATCTCAATTTCAGCGGCAAACATTCAATCAACCCGAAGGCGGGGTGCAAGCGGCTTTCGTAATTAAAGGCACATTAAACGCTCGTTAAAATTAAAGTGCCACTTAAAGGCCCGGTTGGCGAATATCTGCATCGTTTCCATGGCTCCGCCTTCCTCCATTACAGGCAACTTGCGACACTTAATCGAGAACTATTGGCAATATTGAAGGTAATTAAAGCGGAAAAAACGATTAAATGGAGCATGGAAGTGTTGGTTGTGAATACTTTTTTTCCTAGCCCGGAGGATCTTAATAAAGTTCACTTCTGTACTTAAACTATAAAAAATTCCTTTGTTATAGGGTATGAAAATTTATTTAAATAAGTTATGTATAAACTTTGAACAAATAGATACATATAAATAGAAAATTGCTCAGCCCGTGTAACCAAAAAAAATTCCCGTGTTGATTTTAATGTTTTTATTTGAACAGCTTTGTTTATCCATAAATATTTCCTCTTTTTGCTCATTCATCGAGTTTATTTATGTTATTTAAGAATTGGTTAAAGTGCCTGTGTGTGAATAGCACAACACAAACAGAGCTAAAAGCCATCTGAATTTAAATAACTCAATCGAAAAGCAATTAAGCACTCGAGTCCAGTGGTGCAGAGAGATATATGTGCAGAAATACCAGCCTAGATTTAAGGCAACCTAAATGCGATTGTAAATAATCGAAAATTGTGTACAATTTTTGGTACTTAAGTAGTTATTTGCAAAATCACTTGACCATTGCCGGATTATAGTTGTGCGCAGATTACGGCTTTTAGTGTCGTCCTGATGCCACTACTCGTATCTGCCTGATCCTTGTTGGGGATAAAAAAAAAAGAAAAGTGCATAAAATTTATTCTGGCTTGTCGCTGGCAGTAAAATTGTTGGTAAAGAAGTGCCATAAAAGCCTTTAATGGCGCGACTGTCTGTAATTAAAATCCCACACGCGCTGTCGCTCTCTTTCTCCTTCGGCATGGGCATGCATGGCGTATACGTGATGTGAGTGAACTCTAAGCCGATGCGACTTTAAAATGCAGTTCAAGTGCTCTGATTAAATTGTATAGGTATTTTTGTTGGCTCCCCCATTTTCTCTGCTTTATATTTTTTGCTAGTTCTACCATTTACATGGCAGCTCGGAACATTGTCTGTGGCCGGAATATGACTCCTGATTTATGGCCATTTGTTTTTCGCTTACCAAACAGGCTCATAAATACACAAAAAATACCAAAACAAATAGCAAATAGTCGGTAACAAATGGCGCTGGCCCAAATGGGGCAAAAAGTTTTCCTCAGTTGCACTCGATACGGTTTTGTGTTATGCAATCGCCGAAATATCAAAGAGACACGAAGTTAACAGTTAATTTAACTGCATTGCAATCATTGGCAGAACTTGGTTCGCTGCACACGCTGCGTATACTTAATTTGCCTGTGGTAACTAATGGCAAAGCCATTTCGTTTGGATTTTGTGATTTCGTCGAGCAATATCCGTAAACGCTTTTCCCCGGCACTGGCACTGCACTGCTGTCCCTTTGCATTCGCCGCTTTATGCCATGCGCCGAGCATTTGTCTTGGCCCGGCCTGAACCGAGTCCGACACCCCGATAAGCTGCGTTTATTGGAAAAGTTTCGATGCCAACGGCTGGGGTGCCGCTTCGACACTTATTTGAATTTATATCCCAGCAAATTGTGCGGCTCTTTCCACTGCGCTTGTTGCATTTTAATTAGATGCACGGCCGGTCTAAGTGCAATTAAAACTTATAATGTCACACTAAACGAAACAGGTATAAAGTTATGAAACGACATAAAATATGTAAAATAATAAGGATTTTAACTTTAACTTTCTGAACATTCTAATCTGTAGCGCTAGGAAAAAAAATACTAAGGAATAACCCAGATTATACCGATTGTGCTCTGGAAAAATGAATTAGTATACAATTATTACTTGGAATAAAATATGAGTAAAATCAAAAATAATAATATTTTGTTTCTTAAGTTTATAAAGGATTGAATGTACATGTTAAAAAGCTAATAAAATTATATTTTCGAGTGCGAAATAAACCGTCAGATTTGCTAGATTAACAGCTTTGGACTGGCCACAATGTGACATCTTCTGGTCACGCCTGTCCAAACGTTCTGACAACTTTGGTGGGCGCTTCGTTTACGCAAAATTCATTAACATTTACACTCACTTCATTTTTAATGAACTGACAAATCTGTGCGGCTTCCCCGACCTCTCGGCAGGCCATAAATATAAATCCGCGCACACACGCAAATTTCGTCGCGGTCACATAAATCTTTTTCAAAAAATTACACAGAAACACACCATGCGTATTTATATGCAAATTAAGATGTTTACAATATTCCCGATGGCTACACTTTGATCTTGGCCAAAATACGACGCGATTCTCGAAGGCGTTTGCTACGATGCCGCTGCCGGCAAACAATGAATCATAATTTTATTGACGAATGAGGT